GCTGTCTCCTAAGAAACATGGATTTGATAATTTCATTAGTATTGAGCTAAGATTTAATGACATAATTGAAAGAAAGGTTAGTTTTCATACTTTTATGTATCTCAGGGTAACATTTTTATATGAAATATGTCTGGAAAATTTTGGTCTTTTTCATGCAAAAGCTGATAAGGATTATATTGATATTCTGTAGATCTTCTGTGCCACATAAATTACCACTTCACTGTGCATACTGTGCATACTAATTCGCTTGACAGTGTATGTTTTACAGAGGTATTATCACTGTGATTTTTAATCTTTCTCACATATGGCATGGTGAAAAAGCAATGATGAAGCCTAAATCTGTATCAAAACTGAGAAACCATAGAGTGTGGGAATTTTCCCTATATAAATTTTTCATAACTGCTGCATGTGTTACAGTGCACAATTCATCACCAGAGCTGCTTACTCACCTGCTGTAGCCATATTTGTATCAGGCTATAACTGCACTTACCCTTGAGTTTCTCAGGAGATTATAGTGCTCTTGCAAAAAAGAAAAAAAAAGTAAAATCTTTAAAAGAAAATAGCATCAACAGTATTTTTTCCTGTTACTTTCGTAGCTCCAATGCTTACATTTCTTTCTGCTAACTTACAAGATACTTATCTTGGTTTAGCTACAAGAAAGAAAATTAGGTAAGTGCAAAAATGTGTGACAAGTGGCCATAAATGCAAATGTGCTGACCTCCATAAAAAATGAAAGATGTGCCTAAAAACTTCCTTCAAACAGTGCTTCTGAATCTTGACATCAGCAAAGTGTCTGTAACTTCAGGCCCTTCTGTGGTAACCTGCAACTGGCAGGCTTCATTTGGGAAACCCTATAAAGGTGTAAGGAGTAAGCAAGGAGGTCTGTGTTTATATGGGGAGACAAAGCCTTCCCTATTGCCTGTGTATATACACTTTAGTTAACAGGGTAGGTGTGATAGAAGCCCAACCCTCAAAGCATCTTCAAGTTCTGAAGAATAAAAAAATTGAAGTTGTGTGAGAAATTGTTTTCTGAGAAAAATATCCACCACTTGGCTGCTGGTAATATCTGACACTTAAAAAGGCAGCTGAGCAGTGAAGGGTATGGGATTCAAAGTTATTAGAGCGCAGGTTTCTCTCAGGCTTCAGAGTAAAACCAAAAAAATGAAGGGCAACCAAGCAGTTCTTGTCTGGTAATAGTGGACTCCTGTGGCAGAGAACTTCTAAAAACCTGAGAAACAGTAATTTATTATGATGTGCTGCAGCTCAGTGTTGAATAATTGTATAGAATTACAGGGACCTAACAGAGATTTCAGGTGGGAGTAGTAGATCCAGCTTGGTTTTCTTTTCACTTTCACTGCTGAAAAAGGATAGTGATACCAGAAATTGTCCCTTTCACCAAGGAAGTAAGTTATCCTTTTCCTGTACTTTTACCCAGAGTAATTGCCTAGACTGTACATGTGCAGAGCCTCTTACAGAGGTACTGGTTCTATAAATTGTGCCTGGGCCGCACCTGCACAATCTTTGAATGTGTAAAAAATACCAGGTTATGTATTTAGTTCCTGCTAATAAACAGGCTGGAGTTCAGGGAATTGTACTAGTCTGCTGAATAGTATTTCATAGGTACACAGTTTTGTTGTTTGTTGAGGTCATTGCTGAGATTCATTAATGTTAATGGTAGTACATGCCAGACATGTAGAATTATTTGTAGATATTTATTTATATGTATTTATGTATTTATATTATTTATTTATAGGCAAATGAATTCCTGGTGCAAACCAATTCTTTGGCACTGTCTCCTCCTAAAGTGCTGACTGTGATTCAGGATGACAGCCTTCCTTCAGGTCCTTCCCCACAAACCTGGATCTTACAGAAGCCAACTGATGTACAGTGTGCACATTAATCCCTGTGGGGGCCGGGAAACTGGCTGATTCAGAGAGCCTGGCTCTCCCTTGGATGCCAGAAATCTTTGAGTTAGTTATGTTAAACTGTTACACTCCATTGGTGTTTTCCCCTGCCATTCTACCCCGATACATGTATCCCAGTTTCCCCCTGCCCCTCTCCGTCCCTATAAATACCCCAGTTTTTTTCCCTGTTCGGGAGAGTGGCTGTCACTGGCTCCCTTCACTGAGGGCCCTGCCTTTATGTATTAAAATAAAGGCTAGTTCTCTGCGGAATGCCACAGAGCGCTCTAGTTCCTTCTTCCGCGCTGCCTGCAGACCGCCGCTGAGCTGAAATCACTCACCGGGCAGAGGATGTGCCTGTGCCCCTGGGCAGTCCAAATGTGGACCACTTCTTCCAGGTAGTCGCGGCACCCCTGCCACCTGAGTTGCCACACTTCGAGGATACCTTCTTGCATTTTAGCAAGAGGCAATCTAAGAGGCTGCGACCGGGACCCTCGCCTACCATTCGGGGCAAGGAAGAGGAGCCCTTGAGGACCAGCCGCCAGGTGACCACCAGCCCACCAGCTTTCTTTTTGCCCATGGGCATCTACTGAAGAGAAATTGTAAGTTGATCCTGTGAAGGGTTTTTGGGCTTTTCTTATTTTCGTTGCTATTTTACTGCTGGGTGGGGAGTGAATTAGGATGGGAAATCAATTCTTGAGATCGAGACTGACCCCTCCTGAGAGGGACTTTTACGTCCAAGTTGTGGGCACCCTAAAAGCGGGAAATATTAAGTTTTCTAAAGGGGAGTTAAAGAGGTTTATTCATTGGGTTTTTAAAAATTTTAAAGTTGATTCTAAGTCTGTTAAATCGGGAAATTTTTGGGATAATGTGGGGAGAAAGTTATATACTGTTCAAGCGGGGGGAGATTTTTCTGTTGCCAAATTTTTTCCTGTGTTTCAAAATATTATCCTTTCATTGGAAAAAGAGGGGAAAAAGGTTGAAGGAGTTTCGGGTCCCCAGTTAAAACCCCCATCCCCGTCAACCTCTCCAAGTGTCCCTAAACCCTCTTCCCTATCTGAGGGGCAGTTGGCAGGTGGATGTAGCCACCAGACACAGGGTTGCTGCCATCTCCCTGACATCCCCCCACCCTCTCTCTACCCTTACCAGGGCAGCACTGGCCATGCCACTTTGGGTCTTTTCCTCTAACCTCTCCCCTATGCCCTCATACCCGGTTGTATTCCCAACCCATTCCTAACGTTAGCATAGATGGCGTTGGCAACATGGCCAGCCCCGCCATTTTGTCCCACTCACACTCCAGTTTTCCCACCCTCAAAGCTCAAAATGGCCGCTTTCCCGCTCCAATCCCTTCTTTTCCAGGTGCATCCTGTTCCTCGTCCCCTCCCACGGCGTTGATAGGTGTAACCGCGTCGGGCCCTGCCCCATCCATTGGGAAACCCCTCCCCGTCGCGGACCCCAGTCCCACCCCTTCACACCAGAGCCCTGCCCCCAACGACATGCCCGCTCCAGGGTCCCAACACCCCGGGACCATGGCTGGAGGTCAGGACGGCTCCAGCCGGAGGGGGGCTATCTTGGCTTCCTCACCCGATCACAAAAAGGCCAACCCTAGGCACCCGAGTCGGCCCTGCGCTATCATCAAGCACACCCCATCTCCACAAGGGGATGAGAGCAGTGAATCTTCCTATTCAGATTCTGAATATGAAGACTACTGGGCTGAGGTGCAGAGGGAAGCCACACGGACGGGGAACTCAGCTCAGTCCTGGAAAATACTTGCCTTTCCGGTAATACAGAGGAGAAACAGGGCAGGGGCACAAGTTGCTGCATGGGAGTCCCTTCACTATAGGGAGTGAAGGAACTTTGTAAGGCTGCTGAAGAACATGGCCGGGGCTCACATTTTTTCAAACACTTGTTGGAAGCCACCTTCATGGCCCACGTCATGGTCCCGCATGACATCAAAAATATCATGAACTGCCTTCTCTCCCCAGCGGAATGTATGCTGTGGGAGAGGCAGTGGAAAAAACATTTAAAACAATTGGCAGATGTCTACGCTAAAGATGCCAACCGAGCAAATTTAACCTTGGAGCAATTAGCAGGAGAAGGTGATTTCCAAAAGCCCCAAGACCAGTCCTGGGATCTGCCTGAAGCAGCCTTACAGGATATTGCCAATGCTGCCAAGATATCTCTTTTTACCACCCCTGATGACAGAGTGCCGACACAGTGCTTCACCAATATTAAACAAGGGGCAAGTGAGTCCTTTTTTAAGTATATTGATAAGTTAAAAGTGGCCATTGAAAAGCAAATAGAGAGCCCTCAGGCGCAAAAGGAATTATTAGTAAAAATAGCAACGGCCAATGCTAATTCAGAGTGCAGAGCAGTCTTACAGGCCCTTCCACTTGACCCTGAACCAACCATAGATCAAATGGTTGAAGCCTGCACCAAGCACTTCTCCGCCTCAAGTGAGAATTCAGTGGCACTTGCAGTGGCTAAGGGAGTGGCAGAGAGGATATCTGGAGCTTATGCTGCAGACCCCAACACAAATCGCTGTTTTAACTGCGGCGAGCCTGGACATTTCTTCAAGGACTGTCTGGAGAGACATTTTATACAACCACCTGCCCACCAACGGTTACCTAGACAGAATTGGCATTCGGGAAACTTCAAGCAGAGGGTGGAATGGCCCTGCACTCCAGCATCAAATCAAATGCCGCACCGCTCCACCCTTCCTGCCAAATCCCCCATCCTGCCTCCACGGGGACCCCGATCTCAAACCCAGAAGGTGGAGCGCTTCAGATGGGAACCCAGCGCCAATTGGTAACTAGACTCGCTTTACATATGAAGGTTGACTGTATTTACAAAATCTCCACAGGGAAATGTGGACCACCAGGCGGTCCCTCCAACATTTTAATACTTGGGGATCCAACCAACTGTCCAGGACAAATTCATACCCTTCCTGAGGTTCAAACTATATACCCTGGAGATGAAATTTCCATCTCCCTGACCTGCATAGACCCTCCTTATTATTTAAAGGAGCAAACTCCAGTGACACAAGCCTTTTTACTTCCCTGTGACTGCCCGGAAAAGGCTCCCCTCAACCCCAGCGTTATGTGGACTCAGGTTGTGGGCTCCAGCAAACCCATCATAGACGGCCGCCTGTTTTGTTACGGGGGAAGAATTCATTGCCCAGGCATGTTAGACACAGGGGCAGATGTCACCATCATCGCCCGCTCCGAGTGGCCAGACAGTTGGGAGTTACAACCTGTGGCAGGCATGATTTCAGGAATTGGAGGGATGACAGCTTCCATGAGGAGCAAGCGGAATGTTGTCATCAAAGGACCCGAGGGGAAAATGGCGATCATCAGGCCATTTGTGGTGAGGGCACCAATCACCCTCTGGGGAAGGGATCTCTTGTCCCAATGGGGGGCTTGTCTGCGGATTCCCAGCAGGGATTTTTAGTGGGGTCACTGAGGAGTGCGCCAAGCCTACCATCCCTCAACTCACCTGGAAACAACACAATCAGTGTGGGTTGATCAGTGGCCCCTATCTGAGACAAAATTGCGCACACTGGAAGCCCTCATGGAGGAGCAGCTTGCCAAGGGCCACATCACGGAGTCCAATAGCCCTTGGAACTCGCCTGTCTTTGTCCTACGCAAACCAGGCAAGGACAGGTGGGGACTCCTCCACGACCTTAGGAAGATCAATGATGTCATCAAGGACATGGGACCCCTTCAGCCTGGTATGCCCTCCCCTTCTATGCTCCCTCGGGACTGGAAGCTGGCCATCATTGACATCAAGGACTGTTTTTTCCACATACCCCTCCATCCTTGAGACTCCCCCAGGTTTGCATTCTCAGTTCCCTCCCCAAATAGACAGGCGCCTTTAAGGAGGTACCATTGGCTAGTCCTCCCGCAAAGGATGAAAAACTCGCCCACCATCTGCCAATGGTAAGTAGCCCACATCCTGTCACCTGTGAGGGCCCTGTTCCCAGATGCCATCATCCTCCATTACATGGATGACATCCTGGTTTGTGCTGCTGACGATGACTATCTGCACCAGACTTTAGGACAAACCACCCAGACAATTGAGGACGTGGGGTTTGAAATCTGCAAAGACAAGATCCAGCACACCTGCCCTTGGACCTACCTGGGACTCCGGATTTGTGAGCAGACCATTGTGCCCCAGCAGCTGACCATCAGAGAAGACCCCAAGACCCTGTGGGACTTACATCAGCTCTGCAGGTCCATCAACTGAGTATGTCTTTATGTCCTCTGCTTGGGATAACGACGGAAGTCCTTGCGCCCCTCTTCAACCTGCTCCGCGGCAGCGAGGACCTTGATTCACCACGCTCCCTCACACTGGAGGCCTGGGAATCCATCACCAAGGTCCAGGAGGCCCTGTCTTCACGTCAAACCCACCGCTATGAGCTCGGCCTGCCCTTCCAACTGGTTATCCTGGGTAAGGCCCCGCACTTACATGCGCTCATTTTTCAATGGGACATGGCGTTGAAGGATCCACTCCTTATCATCGAGTGGATCTTTACACATAACCAACCTACTAAGACCATTACCACTCTGCAGGAAATCATGGCTGAACTCATTAAAAGAGCTAGAGTCCATCTCCACACTCTTGCAGCCTGTGAGTTCACATGCATCTTTCTCCCATTGACAACTGGAAGTTTGGAGCCTTTGCTCCAAACCATTGAGAGCCTTCAGTTCACTCTCAATAGCTATTCAGGCCAAATTTCTATACATCCACCTGGCCACAGACTTTTCAAAACCACATTTAATTTGGTTCCCAAATTATTACAGAGCAAAACACCGCTCAAGGCTCTGACAGTTTTTACAGACGGCTTGGG